GGGGATTTTGATGTTTAGGGGATTTGAGAATTTTGGCGTTTTGAATATATGATGGTTTTGGTGTTTTTGAAATTCTAGAATCCAGAGGCATCGTTTAAATCCCCAGGAATAGTTTCAGGATCAATAGAATCACCTTTTGGACCCCCAGAAAAAGCTTTTGAAACTCTGGAATCTAGAGGCATCGCTTTGAATTCCCGGGACCACCTTATGGATCCCCGGGGACAATTTCAGGTTCATGGGAAACACCTTTCGTACCACCCAAAGCAACTTTTGTGTTCTTGGAAATACCTTCCAAACCTCTGGAACCTGAAGGTACCATTGGGATCCTCAAAAGTACCTTGTGAAATCCTGGAGTCAGCAGACATTGTTTGTATCCTTGGAATCCCCTGAAATCTGCCAAACCTCAAGACATTCTACCCTGATCTGACTTGCCCTGAGTTGAGCTTCACACCCCTGCTCCGCCCCTTCCTCCGTCGCAATAAACCCAACACATCGCTCAACGTTGTAAATGATTTTATTTATTATCATCATTTTTTATTTGGTACAGTGTATGATACATGAAAGATAGATAACAATCAAGCCGCGAAATTATACCAACCACTGGCCATTACTTGATATGTGACCAAAATACAGCCTGTCAACGCTCATTCACCCTCTCACTCCCTCTTTCGCAAAAAAACTCCGCCCCCGGCGGCAACGAAGCCCCGTTGCCGCCGCGACCGAACCACATATTAGTCAGTTGACAAGATCAATAAAGCTGCAGAATTATATACAACAGGGAACCAGACTAACCCCGCCGCCGCGGCCCCGACCCGGCCCCCCCAAAAAATACAAAAGAACCCTACGATAAGTCAGCGGCGGCGGGCCGGGTCATGCCGCCGCCAGGCGGGACGAAAAGGGGCTCAACATCGATTTATAATCTATGTATCTTACATTATAGATTTATTGTACAAAAAGAAACACAACGTAAGTGCCAACACCGGGGGCGGCGCCCCCGGTTGTGCGTGTACAGAAGAAGGCACAACAAACTTGATGATTTGTTGTTAAATGTGAGACACTCAGGGCTGGGTTGGAGGAACGGAACGTGGAAACGTGGACACTTGGCTCCAACATTCAAAAACAAATCATGTACAACATCTAGTTCTTACGTCGAGAGTTGTGCCGTTTTAAGCTGTTTTTGAAACCCAGTGGAAGAAAACGTGGGTCGCTAACCTAATTCGGGACCCTCAAGTTGGCAACAACGAATTGGTGGATTTTCTTGTTCTAAACTAGCACCGTCAAGGTTCTTTTTTCGTCATTAATATCAAATTTACAAATAAGTTAATTGGGATTTATAAACTTGCTGTTGACGTTGAAGTTCCCATTGCAGTTTTAAGTTTTTTATTGTCTAAAAAAGTCTACATATATTAAGAAAAACAGGCTAAATATATGCCCCGCCCACCCACCCTATCGCGTTTGTGATGATTTTTTTTATTGGTCGTGAGCCCTTTGGGGCGGAGCATAACTGCAAAATCCTTATTTCTCTACGAAAAATTAAAAACATGTTTTTGAGTATCGTGTTTAAAAAATACTATGTATATTAAGAAAAAAATAAAGCCAAAGATTAGGCCCTGCCCTGATCTAAATAGTAATGAAGTTTTCATTCGTTGGTAAATCTAGAGGCGGAGCCTAATTCCAATATCCATATTTCCTTACAAAATTTTACCATTTTAAACATGCTTGAGGTTTCTAAGAATAAAAAAAATCATTACAATCGAGATAGGGTGGGTGGGCGGGGTTTATATTTTGCCTTATTTTCTTAATATATATAGTATTGTTTGAACAACACGATACTCAAAAACGTGATTTTAATTTCTTGTAAAGAAATAAATATTTTGCGGTTAAGCTCCGCTCCCTTGGTTCACGGCGAATAAAAAAAAACCTCTTGTGTCAATGTGTAGATTTCTTTTCGCAACATGAAACTTAAAACATGTTTAAAATGGAAAATTTGTATAAGGAATTATCGATTTTGCATTTTTTTGTTGTGAAAAAATGGCTATATATATTAAGACAAAATGGACAAAATATAAGCCCCGCCCACCCACCCAATCTCGATTCTGATGAATTTTTTTATTCGTCGTAAGCCGAGGGGCGGGGCTTAACTGTAAAATCCTTATTTTTCTACCAGAAATGACCATTTTAAACATGTTTTAAGTTTCTAAGAATAAAAAAAATCTTTACAATTGAGATGAGGTGGGTGGGCGGGGCTTATATTTTGCCTTTTTTTTTTCTTAATATACACAGTATTCATTGAAGAAGACGATACACAAAGACGTGATTTTAATGTCTTGCGAAGAAATAAATGTTTTGCAGTTGAGCTCCGCCCCTTTGGTTCACGGCGAATAAAAAAATAATCACTATTGAGATAGGGCGGGTGGGCGGGCTCACATTTTGTCTTTCTGTTTTAACAGGTGTATATTTCTTTTCAAAACATGAAACTTACTTAAAACATGTTTAAAATGGAAAATTTGTATAAGGAAATATCGATTTTGCATTTTTTTGTTGTGAAAAAATGGCTATATATATTAAGACAAAATGGACAAAATATAAGCCCCGCCCACCCACCCAATCTCGATTCTGATGAATTTTTTTATTCGTCGTAAGCCGAGGGGCGGAACTTAATTGTAAAATCCTTATTTTTCAACGAGAAATGACCATTTTAAACATGTTTTAAATCCTAAGAATAAAAAAATCTTTACAATCGAGGTGGGGTGGGTGGGCGGGGCTTATATTTTGTCTTTTTTTTTTTCTTAATATACACAGTATTCTTTGAAAAACACGATACTCAAAAACATGATTTTAATTTCTTGCTAAGAAATAAGTATTTTGCAGTTAAGCTCCGCCCCCTTGGTTCACGGCGAATAAGAAAAATCATCACAATTGAGACGGGGTGGGTGGGTGGGCTGACATTTTTCCTTTCTGTTTTAATATTTGTAGACTTCTTTTCACAACATGAAACTTAAAATATGTTTCAATTAGAAAATTTGTCTAAGGAAATATCGATTTTGCAAATAGGCTACGCCCCATAAGTGCAAAATCCATATTTCCTTGTAAAAACGTACCATTTTGACCATGTTTTAAGTGTCTTGTTGTGAAAAGATGGCTATTTATATTAAGAAAAAATAAGGCAAAATATAAGCCCCGCCCACCCACCCTAACTCAATTCTGATGATTTTTTTTATTCGTCGTAAGCGGAAGGGCGGAGCTTAATTATAAAATCCTTGTTTTTCTACGAGAAATTACCATCTGAAATAGGTTCTTAAGTAATCATGTTATACAAGGAAAACTAAATGTATTGATTAAAAAAGAATACCAAACGAGAAAAGAGAAGCCCCGCCCACTAGTCTCGATCTCAATCGTGATGAATTTTTCATTTGTTGTCAGATCGAGGGGCGGTGCGTAATTATATAATCGATGTTTCCCTATACAAATTTACCATTTTAAATATGTTTTAACTTTCCAAGAATAAAAAGAATCTTTACAATCGAGATAGGGTGGGTGGGCGGGATTATATTTTGCCTTTTTTTCTTAAATACTTAGTATTCTTTGAACAACACGATACTCAAAAACGTGTTTTTAATTTTTTGTAAAGAAATAAGTATTTTGCAGTTAAGCCCCGCCCCCTTGGTTCACAGCGAATAAAAAAAATCATCACAATTGAGATAGGGCGGGTGGGCGGGCTGACATTTTGCCTTTTTGTTTTATTATGTGTAGACTTTTTCACAATGTGAAACTGAAAACATGTTTAAAATGGAAAATTTGTATAAGGAAATTTCGATTATGCAATTTCTTGCTGTGAAAATTTGGCTATGTATGTTAAGAAAGAAAAGGCAAAATATAAGCCCCGCCCACCCACCCAATCTCGATTCTGATGAATTTTTCTATTCGTCGTAAGCCGAGGGGCGGAGCGTAATTGTAAAATCGTTATTTTTTTTACGAGAAATTATAATTATAAACATGTTTCAAGTTTCTATGAATAAAAAAAATCATCACAATTGAGACAGGGTGGGTGGGCGGGCTGACATTTTTCATTTTTGTTTTAATATATGTAGACTTTTTTTCACAACATGAAACTTAAAACATGTTTAAAATGGAAAATTTGTGTAAGGAAATGTCGATTTTGGAGTTAGGCTACGACCTATAATTGCAAAATCCATATTTCCTTGCAAAAATGTACCATTTTAACCTTGTTTTAAGTTTCTTGTTGTGAAAAGATGGCTATGTATATTAAGAAAACAAAAGGCAAAATGAAAACCCCGCCCACCCACCCTGTCTCGATTGTGATGATTTTTTTATTCGTCGTGAGCCAAGGGGGCGGAGCTTAATTGCAAAATCCTTATTTTTCCGCAAGAAATAAAAAACATGTTTGTGAACGGGTCATTAAATGGCTTAAAATTAGTGGACCTCAAAATCTCTCTCAAAATTTGATTTTCGTGGAATTAGTGCTGTCAAACAGAAAAATGTCGCCCCTACTTCAGGGGATTTTCCTTGCAGTTGGCAGCGCTGCACACTACCTCAATTTGATTGGTCGAAAACCCAACGTCAGCGACAAGTTAATAAATCGACATTTAAATTTTCAAATTGATCCTAACCTAATTTTTAGCATTTTTTAGTGTCTTGAAAATAAATGAAAAACGATTGGAACACAACTAACGCAATTTAAATAGAAATTTAATGCTCAATTTTTGATTGGTGGTGCTAGGTTAGAACAACGAGTGCTAGTTTTTGCAAAAAAACCCCAATTCGGTGTTGCCAAGTCGTCGGCCCCACCTATTGCGGGCGTCGGGGCGCGCAGCGGCGTCACACGGAAAACTGTCAAACGAGGAGGAGGAACTGACGCCGCCGCCGCGCCGCCACCGCCCGGATCACAACAGTCTCACTGAACGAACCGAAAACTCCGGAATCACCGGAAACTCTAGAAATTCAGGACTCAGCTAGTGGAAGCAGCTGAACCCCCCGAAAAAACCCCACCCCCCTTTGATTGATACTAACAGCACCCGCCCCCGCCGGTATGTACGCCTACGCTCATCACGTGACAATAAAAGTAGTATATATATCAACAATAATAGCAAGCAAATTCAACAATTCAATGATAATAAGTAGTAACAGCTAGTAATGATATTGGTCACTTTTGTACTCAGTACCTCCAAGTTAAATATCTCCCTTACACAAGTATGATAATACTGAATGATTATTTGCAGCTTACATAGATTGTATATAGATATGAATAAACAACCGTAAAATCGAAACGACATCACACATAAGCTGCTTCGCGTTGAACACTTTAGCGATATAACATTAGTATCAATATAACCATCATCGAAAAAATCAGCGTCGTTAAACGGTTCCAAAAACAGCTACCTACACTTAAACCAAAAGAAATTATTATTTGCCCCCGCCCAGTCCGAATTTCATGAAAATGAGTTCTTTCCCCTTCGACAGGATATCACCACCGGGCGCCGTGATCTCGTTCAGCTTCTGCATGAGATTGGGCCCTTGCTGTTGCTGCTGTTGCTGCTGCTGCGGCTGCTGCTGCTGGTTCTGCCCCATCATCACGTTGGGCACCACCTGCGGCACGCCCTTGTGCTGCATCCGGCCCTGGTTCTGCCCGAACTGCTGCTGCCCGCTGAAGGCCTGCTGTTGCTGTTGGCCCCCGCCGAAGATGCCGCCGCCGCTGCTCGTCGTCGTGGTGGTATTGGAGCTGAACGCCGAGTTGAGCGCCTGCTGGATGATGCCGGGCTGCTGCTGCTGTTGCTGTTGCTGCTGTTGTTGCTGCTGTTGCTGGTTACCACCGGGCCTCAACATGCCTCTCCCCCTCCCCTAGAAAATAGTAGGCGTGAGAAGGCAGCAGAAGAGGGGTGGGGGTACGCGCGGCGGTTCGGTCGCTACGGTGACGGTTCGGGCCGACGAAAGGGTTGGGGGCGGCGCTACGTCTACGGGAAGGTGACCAACCGTCGCGGGTTGAGCGGGACGAGTTTTATGCTAATGTGACCCGTATTTTAAATGATTGTAAGTCAGGTCAGGTCAAGTCAGCTGAGTCAGTCAAGTCAGGTCAGGTAAGTCAGGTCAAGTATGGATTCTTTAGAAAGCGTAAGCAGTTAAGACAATTTTAATCGTCTAGAGTCTAAATTGATTTCTTTATTTTTTCTATTCAAATTATATTTCTTTTACATCAATGAGATCTTATTTAAAACAAGAAAGTACCATCTATTTTTCCTGTTTTTAATAATTACTAGGTTTATACAGTTTTATTAATTGATGCTGTATATAGCATTTAAAGAATGTAGAATCCAAAGAATCTACAGTCTTAAATCGCCTCTTGATTATAGATAATCTAGGGTATCTAGAAACTTTACAAAACGTATAGAGCCTAGAGTGTTTAAAAACCGTAAAGGGCTCAAAGAGTCTAAAATGTCTATAGAATATAGAGTGCACAAAGTATAGATAGCCTAGAGAAACTAGAGAATTTATAAAATATAGAAAGTCTAGAATATAGAGATCTTAGACAACTTAGGGATTTGAGAATCTACAGAGAATTTATAAAGTCCACAGAGTCTAGAGAGTCTCCGGAGTATTCGCAATCTAGAGTATCTAGAAATTTTAGAAAACCTAGAGAATCTAGATCTTTTTCCCGTCATTCTGTTATTCGCTGGTCGATTGGTGGAACTTTAACTGATTTCTATATTTTTTTTATCTCATTAGATCTTATTTTGGAGGTCTTAAAGAATATGGAGATTTTAGAAAACCTACACAATTTAGGAATTGAGAAACTCGAGAAAATAATCTATAGAGTTTCGAGGATGTCTGAATCATAGAGAATCTACAGTATCTAGAAACTTTATTTAGGATATCTATAAATATCTATAGCACCTAGAGAGTTTAGAAACTATAGAATTCAAAGAATCGGAAGTATCAATCTATAGAGTATAATATCTGGAATCTACAGATAGGCTAGAGAAACTAGAGAATTTAAACCGTTTAGAGTCTAAAGATTTCATTGAGCCTAGAGTAGCTACAGAACTCAAAGGATCTATAAAATCTAGCAAGTCTAGAATATAGAGATCTTAGACAATTTAGGGATTTGAGTATCTACAGAGAATTTATAAAGTCCACAGAGTCGAGAGTCTCCAGAGTATTCGCAATCTAGAGTATCTAGAAATTTTAGAAAACCTAGAGAATCTAGATCTTTTTCCCGTCATTCTGTTATTCGCTGGTCGATTGGTGGAACTTTAATTGATTTCTATATTTTTTTTTATCTCATTAGATCTTATTTTGGAGGTCTTAAAGAATATGGAGATTTTAGAAAACCTACACAATTTAAGAATTGAGAAACTCGAGAAAATAATCTATAGAGTTTAGAGGATGTCTGAATCATAGAGAATCTACAGTATCTACAAACTTTATTTAGGATATCTAGAAATATCTATAGCGCCTAGAGAGTTTAGAAACTGTATAATTCTAAGAATCGGAAGTATCAATCTATAGAGTATAATATCTGGAATCTACAGATAGGCTAGAGAAACTAGAGCATTTAAACCGTTTAGTGTCTAAAGATTTCATAGAGCCTAGAGTAGCTACAGAACTCAAAGGATCTATAAAATCTAGCAAGTCTAGAATATAGAGATCTTAGACAATTTAGGGATTTGAGAATCTACAGAGAATTTATAAAGTCCACAGAGTCTAGAGTCTCCAGAGTATTCGCAATCTAGAGTATCTAGAAGTTTTAGAAAACCTAGAGAATCTAGATCTTTTTCCCGTCATTCTGTTATTCGCTGGTCGATTGGTGGAACTTTAACTGATTTCTATATTTTTTTTATCTCATTAGATCTTATTTTGGAGGTCTTAAAGAATATGGAGATTTTAGAAAACCTACACAATTTAAGAATTGAGAAACTCGAGAAAATAATCTATAGAGTTTAGAGGATTTCTGAATCATAGAGAATCTACAGGATCTACAAACTTTATTTAGGATATCTAGAAATATCTATAGCGCCTAGAGAGTTTAGAAACTGTATAATTCTAAGAATCGGAAGTATCAATCTATAGAGTATAATATCTGGAATCTACAGATAGGCTAGAGAAACTAGAGAATTTAAACCGTTTAGAGTCTAAAGATTTCATTGAGCCTAGAGTAGCTACAGAACTCAAAGGATCTATAAAATCTAGCAAGTCTAGAATATAGAGATCTTAGACAATTTAGGGATTTGAGAATCTACAGAGAATTTATAAAGTCCACAGAGTCTAGAGAGTCTCCAGAGTATTCGCAATTTAGAGTATCTAGAAATTTTAGAAAACCTAGAGAATCTAGATCTTTTTCCCGTCATTCTGTTATTCGCTGGTCGATTGGTGGAACTTTAATTGATTTCTATATTTTTTTTATCTCATTAGATCTTATTTTGGAGGTCTTAAAGAATATGGAGATTTTAGAAAACCTACACAATTTAGGATTTGAGAAACTCGAGAAAATAATCTATAGAGTTTAGAGGATTTCTGAATCATAGAGAATCTACAGGATCTACAAACTTTATTTAGGATATCTAGAAATATCTATAGCGCCTAGAGAGTTTAGAAACTGTATAATTCTAAGAATCGGAAGTATCAATCTTTAGAGTATAATATCTGGAATCTACAGATAGGCTAGAGAAACTAGAGAATTTGAACCGTTTAGTGTCTAAAGATTTCATAGAGCCTAGAGTAGCTACAGAACTCAAAGGATCTATAAAATCTAGCAAGTCTAGAATATAGAGATCTTAGACAATTTAGGGATTTGAGAATCTACAGAGAATTTATAAAGTCCACAGAGTCTAGAGAGTCTCCAGAGTATTCGCAATTTAGAGTATCTAGAAATTTTAGAAAACCTAGAGAATCTAGATCTTTTTCCCGTCATTCTGTTATTCGCTGGTCGATTGGTGGAACTTTAATTGATTTCTATATTTTTTTTATCTCATTAGATCTTATTTTGGAGGTCTCAAAGAATATGGAGATTTTAGAAAAGCTACACAATTTAGGAATTGAGAATCTCGAGAAAATAATCTATAGAGTTTAGAGGATGTCTGAATCATAGAGAATCTACAGTATCTACAAACTTTATTTAGGATATCTAGAAATATCTATAGCGCCTAGAGAGTTTAGAAACTGTATAATTCTAAGAATCGGAAGTATCAATCTATAGAGTATAATATCTGGAATCTACAGATAGGCTAGAGAAACTAGAGAATTTAAACCGTTTAGTGTCTAAAGATTTCATAGAGCCTAGAGTAGCTACAGAACTCAAAGGATCTATAAAATCTAGCAAGTCTAGAATATAGAGATCTTAGACAATTTAGGGATTTGAGAATCTACAGAGAATTTATAAAGTCCACAGAGTCTAGAGAGTCTCCAGAGTATTCGCAATTTAGAGTATCTAGAAATTTTAGAAAACCTAGAGAATCTAGATCTTTTTTCCGTCATTCTGTTATTCGCTGGTCGATTGGTGGAACTTTAATTGATTTCTATATTTTTTTTCTCATTAGATCTTATTTTGGAGGTCTTAAAGAATATGGAGATTTTAGAAAACCTACACAATTTAAGAATTGAGAAACTCGAGAAAATAATCTATAGAGTTTAGAGAATGTCTGAATCATAGAGAATCTACAGTATCTACAAAGTTTATTTAGGATATCTAGAAATATCTATAGCGCCTAGAGAGTTTAGAAACTGTAGAATTCAAAGAATCGGAAGTATCACTCTATAGAGTATAATATCTGGAATCTACAGATAGGCTAGAGAAACTAGAGAATTTAAACCGTTTAGAGTCTAAAGATTTCATAGAGCCTAGAGTAGCTACAGAACCCAAAGAATCTATAAAACATAGCAAGTCTAGAATATAGAGATCTTAGACAACTTAGGGATTTGAGAATCTACAGAGAATTTATAAAGTCCACAGAGCCTAGAGAGTCTCCAGAGTATTCGCAATTTAGAGTATCTAGAAATTTTAGAAAACCTAGAGAATCTAGATCTTTTTCCCGTCATTCTGTTATTCGCTGGTCGATTGGTGGAACTAATTGATTTCTATATTTTTTTTATCTCATTAGATCTTATTTTGGAGGTCTTAAAGAATATGGAGATTTTAGAAAACCTACACAATTTAAGAATTGAGAAACTCGAAAAAATAATCTATAGAGTTTAGAGGATGTCTGAATCATAGAGAATCTACAGTATCTACAAACTTTATTTAGGATATCTAGAAATATCTATAGCGCCTAGAGAGTTTAGAAACAGTATAATTCTAAGAATCGGAAGTATCAATCTATAGAGTATAATATCTGGAATCTACAGATAGGCTAGAGAAATTAGAGAATTTAAACCGTTTAGAGTCTAAAGATTTCATTGAGTCTAGAGTAGCTACAGAACTCAAAGGATCTATAAAATCTAGCAAGTCTAGAATATAGAGATCTTAGACAATTTAGGAATTTGAGAATCTACAGAGAATTTATAAAGTCCACAGAGTCTAGAGAGTCTCCAGAGTATTCGCAATTTAGAGTATCTAGAAATTTTAGAAAACCTAGAGAATCTAGATCTTTTTCGCGTCATTCTGTTATTCGCTTGTCGATTGGTGGAACTTTAATTGATTTCTATATTTTTTTTATCTCATTAGATCTTATTTTGGAGGTCTTAAAGAATATGGAGATTTTAGAAGACCTACACAATTTAGGAATTGAGAAACTCGAGAAAATAATCTATAGAGTTTAGAGGATGTCTGAATCATAGAGAATCTATAGTATCTACAAACTTTATTTAGGATATCTAGAAATATCTATAGCACCTAGAGAGTTTAGAAA